TTGACCCCGTTTCTCAAAGTCCACAACGAGAGCAACCTTGTTCTTTTGTTGTTGTGCCGATCGAATTCGGCTACGAGGTAGACTATGTACAGCAGAGAACTTTTTGACATACGGCCCAAACGATTGATTCCTATGTACAGCGGGCACGGATTTTCAGATTCGGTTGTCCCAAAGTTTCAAGGTTCCACCCAGAATCTGAAAGGTGTAGCGCGAGCGAGTCAGCTTCTCAAAGATTCGCCTTTGTTACAATTGGGAGTGAACATGGGCCGTACTCACGAAATGGCAGCGACGGCATACAGGGCGCACAGCATGACGCCTTCAATGTAATTGCTGCGGATGAAGGGTTCAAAGGCGTGAGACACATTTGCTCGCATTGCCTTGTCACGAATGCTGACACGAAAAGCGACTTACGAGCGTCCATCTTGGATGAGAGAGTTGACGAGCACCACGCTTGCAATCAGCACGACGGTCTCGAACGTTTGAAAGTAAAGCTGCGATGTGGCGCATAGAGAGGACGTGAAGGTATCAGAGGAGCAGGGTCTTGGCGCAGCAGAAATGCAACAGGCTTCTACTCACAGTCAGAGGTTGATCGATAGCCCAGCCGACAAGCACGAGCGTAGGAATGAGACCAATGGCGATCTGGATAGAGGAGCCCAGAGCAACAGCGAGGGAAAGATCCAACCTGTCCTTTGCAGCCATCCAGACAGAGGTCACATGCTCCGCCGCATTGCCAACGATGGGCAACAGAATGGTTCCGATGAAAGCTTTGGGGATCTTGTACTCTTGCGCTACTTCGTCGATCGCACCCACGAGGTAATCAGCATTGAAGCTCGTCACGACCGTCACCAGCCCCAATCCGATGACTGCAGCAATGGGCGTCATGTTGGGCGTCTCCTCTTCCTCGTCCTCGTTGTTCTGGTCAGCCTCAAATAGGTAGGCGTGCGTCTTCAATTGGAAGACCAGGTAGATGGCATAAATGACCAACAGAATGATGCTCGTTCCGCGCGAAATGAACAATAGGCCCTGCTCAGGGTCTTTGTTCGGACCTTTGAGCTCCCCTTGACCCGCATTTGCGAGGAGGGTGTGCATGGTGATGGAGCTTTGATATGCGGCAGGAAGCGCCACAGCGACTGTGCCAAGGGTCATGATGGAGCCCGAAGCTTGGGCAGCGCTGCAGGGGCCAGGAAGAAGTCGCATCAGCACTACGCTGCTTGCACGCTTGCATCCGAGCGCTGTTGCATAGCTCACGTAGTCTGGAACAAGTTCTCATCCTTGTAGATGCCTCCAGCAACAAAGCTCATGCCCAGGACGAGGAGAATGTTGCTGAGGATAGACCCGATCAGGCTCGTTTGGACAATCCGCAATTGACCTTGAGTCAAGGCGACGATTCCTACGATGAGCTCAACGGCATTTCCGAAAGTGGCATTCAGCAGTCCTCCAAGCGTCTGACCAAGCTTCAAGGATGCTTGCTCAGTGGCATCTCCAAGCAGCTGTAGCGTGGGAAATGCAGGGAGGATTGTCTAAGTCAGCTTGGGAGCTCGTATGCACAGAATAGAGCTCCACTAGCTTGATGACATTGGCGTGCCAGCGCGAAAAGACAAATGGGCCACTTTCTCCTGTTCACCTTCAGCCTTTCACCGCATCCCACTCGAGCGATCAAGCTTTGCTGCTTCCTCGCGCTACAGCACTCGAGTTCCGCCATTGCTGTTTGTTCAGGCAGACGCCCTCCACGATCCGCCACCTCGTGCTGAGCTCACCTTTGCCAAGGGCACGATAGCCAAAAAGTTGAGGGTAAAGATGGTGGCAGCGCCCCAATGAAGTTTCTCGGCCAAGAATCCCAGTGGGACAAAGACGAGGAGGATGTTGAGCCAGCTAGAGAAGATCAACCATCTAAAGGAAGAGAGCAGCGTTGGGCTGCTTGTAGAGTGCGACTCAGAGGGCCCACCTGTTGCTGCTGGATAGGAAGAAGGCCGATGAAGCGGAAGAGCACTGTTGCGGTGCTCCTCCGGCTGACCCGAGGCTAGAGGCGTTCTTTCGGAGGGCGCTATTGATCGCAAGGCAGGAGATGTGAGAGGTCGAAGATGCGAGAAATCAATGCTTCGTGCACTAGGACTCACCCATACTGTGAGCTTAGCACTGGTGCTTTGCTTCAATCAAGAGTACCGAAACTTGACTGTATGCTTGTGAGAAGCACAGCACGGCAATGAGCGTTGCACAACGGGGGCGCCAAGAGACGAGTGTCACGAGTCAGCAGATCGCTTCGCTCTCCAAGCCAGACACGATCTATCAATCCTCGATGGGCGGCACTGGCGGTGATGGTGATGATGATTGAGAATGCTGCAAAGGCTGGTAGCAGCAGTCTCTGCACATGTGTGCAGTACGTAGGCCACGATTCTATATAGCCGCCTTGGGTTCAGGCACGACGAGGGTACTCGCAGCCAGGTGAGAGCAGGTGAGAAATCATGCAGCGAAGCTTGGCCCGCCCGCGGCCGCCTCGCTTCGCCAAGGTGGAACGTCACCCGACAGCGGGCACGCAGACATGCAAAATCGCAAAGGCACGCACGCGCAAGCCC